TATACCTGCGGTGGAGTTCATCACTAGCAGCTCCAGTATGACTGCGTACATGTTCCATTTCTTTAAGTACCCCGGCATTGAATTCCCCTTTCCGACACTGTTCTATCGCGATTACGAGCTTGTTCATCGTGCCAAACTGCTCGAGTCTGCCACTGATAAACAGGTAAAAGAACGTGCTTTTCAAGGTATTCAAAGGTCATCTAAGATTGTTTTGGTAAAGGGCTTTAGGGAGATTGAGGCTAAATATAGTGATTATCTTTCTAGTTTACTAGGGAAGAAAATTGTGCCTGTCGGGGCATTGGTTCAAGATCCTACACAAGAAAATGACAGTTCAGATATCATAGAATGGCTAGACGAAAAGGATAAGAATTCCACTGTATTTGTTTCTTTTGGGAGTGAATATTTTCTTACAAGAGAGGATATGTTGGAACTGGCTTATGGTTTAGAACTCAGCAATGTCAATTTCATATGGGTTGTTAGGTTTCCCAAGGGAAAGAAAACCATACTTGAAGATGCTTTGCCATTAGGGTTTCTACAAAGGGTTTCGGAGAGAGGGCTAGTGGTGGAGGGTTGGGCCCCACAGGCTAAAATATTGAACCATCCAAGCATTGGTGGATTTGTCAGCCACTGTGGATGCAGTTCTGTGATGGAGGGTATGAAGTTTGGTGTTCCAATCATTGCCATGCCAATGCACCTTGACCAGCCACTCAATGCTAGGCTGATGGAAGATGTAGGGGTCGGCATGGAGGTCGTGAGGGATCATTGTGGAGATCTTCAGAGGGAGGAGGTGGCGGCCGTGATCCGCCACGTGGTGGTCGAGACTGGTGGAGAATCTATTCGGACGAATGCAAGAAAAATGAGTGAGAAGATCAGGATCAAAGGTGATGAAGAAATTGATGAGGTTGTCCAAGAACTCGTGCAGCTTTGTGCTACCAAGAAACGCAATGGCTTCCATTGAGTTTCATGAATTAATGTGGGCTTTAAGATTATGTTATTTTTTTTCACTTTTTAGATTAGTAGTTTCCTTTCTGATGGATACCACTGCATAATTTGTGAAATCGCAGTTGTGTAGCCTCAAATTTCAGTGTGGATTTTAATCAAGCACCTTGTAATCAGTTTTTCAATACTTGGTTACAAGTTATCAAGCATTGTTAATTGTCGTATCTTATTGTCGTAGCAATCCAACCTTCAAAAATGTAGACATGGCCCCAAATTAATATAACATGTGACTTTAGGTCCTTAATTTATGTAAAGTCTTTAATTTATTTGTGGACAAAATTTGGTTGCACATTAGTATAATTTAATTTACGAAGTTTAACTTGTAAGTTTTATGCATGGTTGATTTGGATTGTGACTTTGAGTTTTTACGGCCAACGATTGCCACTATGTTTATGTGGCTTGTGATAATAGTGGTAGTGGTGGTTGTCATTCACCGAAAATTATGTCTTTGTTCGGTGTAGATTAAAATTTTACTAAAAATTATAAGTCAAAATCAACAATTAGTTTTCATCATATATTTTATGAAACTCAAAATTTTTTAATCGCATAATTTATAAAAAATTATTAAAATTTTGTTTTTAATCTATACCAAACAATAGTGATTATTTGTTTATATTATATGAAAAGAAAGGTTAGAATAGTCTTTTCAACATGTATTTTGAATTTTTATTGGGCAAATGGACCACTTTTGAGAATAAAGGACCTAAATTCACAATGTTATTTAAGTTGGGACCATTCAACTATTCTTAAAAATTGAAGATACAAAAACAACGTGCTTCAAAACTTCTCTATCTAATTAGTCCTTATTATTGCCATTGTTATTTTTTTAAAATTAACATTATACTCCAATCAATGAAATTGTTATTATAGGATTAAGGCAACGTCCTTTACATCACACGACAACAAGACCTTGTTGTATTTCATATTTGGAAGCCATGCGTTTAATTTGACAAACCAAGAAGAAAAGCAAAGACCCCCCTCTCTTTAATTGTCAACACTTCTCTGAGATGCTTTTATTATAGGTACAATCATATAAATTTGAAATGTATGTATAATTTCGAGAGGGATATGCATTTTATGTGAATTTGAATGTGTGAAGGATATGATCAGAGATGGTGGAGGGCGCCTACGTACAGCTTACAAAGGATCAGCCTTCCTTGCAGAACATCACCCTTGGCGAACTTGAATCAATCCATCGATGTCGATAAGGTGGATATTACATGAAATTTCATTGAACCAAACCGCTTTCTTGGGAGCTTGGATACGTTTTAAGATATATTGGTAACGAGATCAGGAATTCGAAGTGGAGGGGTTATCAAGTTTATTGTTCTAAAGATTTGGATTAGACTGTATCCATTGTTTAGATTTTGTTGCTGACAATTTCTTTTAACAGTTGACTGTTCGTAGATGCCAAGACTGCGGCCAAACATTACCTGAAACCTACCATCCCCCGGCTGATGAAGACTGGATGACTAGGATTTTTGGTTGTGCAGAAAATACTGACAGTTGTAAGAGTTTACGACCTTTTTGTTTTCCTTGATATGAAGTTTTACATCCTAGTTGAAGATCCCTGTAGAAATTGATGGTAAATTTGAATAAAATATATCCGTTTTCTGATTTCTAAAGTTCAGAATATTATTATTGTTGTCCTCGTGTTTGTTGTTAAGCATGATTTATGCTTTTCAGAAATTGTTTATGTTGTCCAATGGATAATTATGTGTACATATCAGGCATTTGCGCATAATATACAAAGTTGCTATTGACACTTAGCCATGTCTATGACGGATTAAATTCAAATGAAAAGCGAAAAATGACTGTTGTGTACAATCTGACTCATTTCAGACAATTTACTGTATTTATTATTCATTGTCGGGGACAATTGCCATTTTTGCCTTTAATTCATTTCATTCCCTCACACGAAGTTGTATAAAGGGGTAGAATTGACTTTTGGATATTTGAAAGTCATGTGCTTTAATCAAATTGGTACAATAACAACTTCATCTCAAGCACGTGTGGGGTTGGTGAGTTGACGGCAAAATCGATTTTTTTTCCCAATAAATTGTGCCATCTATTACATTGCAAGAATGCAACAATTGAATTTGCATGGTGTAATTTGTTGATCATGGAATGACCACCTTGTCTTCTTTGGCTTTTTCTCTTCTGGACAGTTAAACATGAATCTCAGTAATCAGTATCAATTCTCTCATTTTTTCTAGGCTGGACTGGACTATTTTGCCCTTGTGTACTATTTGGGCGCAATGTTGAAAGCATGAAAGAAGAAATCTCTCACCAAAGTGCATGCATTGGTCACGTGATCTAGGTTGAAGGAGGCATGACAATTGCTGCACTTACTGTAGCGTTTCATGGCATTGATCCAGATACAACATGCTTTCTCACTGAGGGTTTGTTATTTGCTTGGTGTGTGTGTGTGGCATCTACACTGGCATGGCTTGACAAGCATTGCAGAGAAAATATCATTGGAAGGTGATCAGTTTTCTAGTACAGCAAGGATTCATAGAAAGTTGACAAATCTTCGCTCTTTCTGGTACGAGTTTACTTGCTTAAACAACCTGCTGATGTATCGAGATCAATTGTTTCATTTGAACATTTTTATGACATGATTCACCGTGTGATCCTTGCATGGTGTACTGTTGTCTGCATTGATGTGCCTCGTGTCAAGAGTACAAAGAGGTGAAACATCATTGATGTGATAATTCACCCACAGAAGCCATTGTCATGAACCCCCTAGCAATTCTAGGTGTTTTTATTATTCCACATGTAGAAAAAGTGAATTACTGGCATTTTAATTCACCCACAGAAGCCATTGTAGTGAACTCCCCAGCAATTCGGGAAATGAATGTTGGGCACGACAAGGAAGTTGTCAGTGAAAGTAATGTTGGAGAAAGTAACTTGCAGTTGCAGCCTATGTAGGATCTGCTGCATTGCTACATTTAGAATTATTGTTGGAATTTTTCTAGTCTCAAATGAAGAATCCTAGGTGTTTTTATTATTCCACATGGAGAAAAAGTGAATTATTGGCGTTTTGAATGTTATTTTGCCTTAACTTCATAGATCAGAAGAAATTATTTCATGATATTGCCTTGGTGTTAGCATGTTATGTATTGCTGCAGCATATAGAGGCTCGACAAAATCGTTTTTGGTGTAGTATTTTCTTTGTTAAGTTGATTTGTTAGAAGAATTATGTTATTTGTACAATTGGACTTGACAATGATAGTTGACAATATTGGTATTTTCAAAATCAGACCATTACTTTGAAAAACGATTTTTGAAATTGATGAATGTGATGTTGTTAAGTGTGAGTTGTTAATCAATATTGTCCAACTAGATTGTACACGTAGCATGATTCAAAATAATTGTGCATGCATTTGGTAAAGCATTGCGCAACATTAAAGGTATAAAAAATAGGTAAAAAATATTATCATATGATTATCGAATTTTAAGAATGAACCATTAGTTAGAATGTAATGCAAGTTCTTAGACAAACTCACAAAAGCATTCAAGCATAAAATTGTCATGAAGCACTCACGTGATTGCGGAATGAAAGGGTAAAATTGTCTAAAATGATTTTCTTTATTTCAAAACAATCCAATGAGGATTTGTTCATCTTTTAACATTTCAAAAATTATACCCAACGAGAACTAAAATGTTACTTCAACTTCTATTTAAAAAATCAAATATCATAAAATTATTCAATGTTCGTGAAACATATCCTCTTGTTTCAATCCATCCCACGCATTACATAGGTGTCACGAGGCAATTTATTTGAATAAACATTTTCTGTTATTTAGGGACAAGAATGTCACAGTTTTAAAAGCCTGGGAAATAGATACAACAAATAGTAGATTAGGACATGGGTGCCATAGTTGCAAAAGGTTGAGGACCCCTAGTGAAAATGGTAGTGGAAAAAGGAACAAGGTGAGTCAATCTCACTCTCAACCCGCCTGCTCTAACCAAGGGTTTATTCCAAAACCCTCACAAAAATGGCACGCTCTGCCCGATCCTCTACGACGCGCTTACTCTACACCCTCTGTACCTCCTCACTCAAACCCCAAACTCAAAGCTCAACCGCTGCTCTGCTTGCTGGGAGTTTCCAGCTCCGCCACTACTCAGCAGGCAGCGCCGCTGCCCTTCGACAGAAGGAGGAGAAAGAGGCATGGTGGAAGGAGTCGCTGAAGAAGCTCCGAAACATCGGGATTTCGGCTCATATCGATTCGGGCAAAACGACACTAACGGAGCGGGTACTTTACTACACGGGTCGGATCCACGAGATCCACGAGGTTCGGGGGAAAGATGGAGTCGGAGCGAAAATGGATTCCATGGATTTAGAAAGAGAAAAAGGGATTACTATACAGTCTGCTGCCACTTACTGTAGCTGGAAAGACTATCAGGTTTTTTTTTTTTTAAATATTTCAATTCAACTGGACAAGTTTCGTTGTTTTGTTTAGTTGCCAATTCATTACCCACACCCATCATTAAATTAAATGACTTGCCTACCCTGGCTTGACTTGAGCTATCAAATGGACTGTCTTTTCGAGCCACGTGATATAATAATCAATCGTTTTTTAGGGTCGAAGTCGTTTCTTTCATAAAAAATGAAAGAGATTATGGAGTAGTCATTCTTTGAGGAATAAGTCTTGTAGCACAGAATTCAAACCAAAGTATATTTTGGTTCTGGCTTGGGTATTTTTTTAGTTGAGGTGTGGTTTTATTGTGGGTGATTTGTTTGCTTATTTACGTTCTGTTGGTTACTTATTGAGCGTGTTGTTTGAGGTTTGTTTCATTAGTGAGGAAGTGTGTGAAAATTGATCTAACTGTGAGGTTTGGTGAGGAGGTGTAAAAAGAAAACTCTATATGATAATGGCTTTAGTTGTAAAAAATTTTCCTACTTGTAGGCATTGATTATATGCGCAGGGGCTGGTAGTTCTTTTCTTTTCATTTAACATTGCCTTTTAGATTAATTAAAAAAAAGGTACCTTCTTTCTCGTTTTTATAAGCTAAAGAAAAAATTGGAGTTGGACACATTTTATTTAAACAAAATATATTTACTTTTGCTGGCTTTAATAAAATGTTGATGACAAACTTGAGAATTTCAATCCCCAAATTTTTGGTTTAAAAGGTTTAAAATTTGTAATGAAATCGATATCAACTACAGTTATACTTCTCTGTGAAGCAATGGCCAAAATAATGTGGTATGAAACGGTAGCAGTTTCAGTTTTTATTTATTTGTTGTATATGCTGGTGCAGGTTAACATTATTGACACTCCGGGTCACGTCGATTTCACCATTGAAGTTGAGAGAGCTTTGCGTGTACTTGACGGTGCCGTTCTTGTTCTCTGTAGTGTTGGCGGTGTGCAGAGTCAATCAATCACTGTTGACAGACAAATGCGAAGATATGAGGTTCCAAGACTTGCTTTTATAAACAAACTAGATCGCATGGGGGCCGATCCATGGAAAGTTCTTAACCAGGTCAATTTGTTGTCTCCCAGATTACATTTTTTCTCCTTTTCATGTATATCATGTTTTATAGCCTATAGAATTAATTTTGGTATAAAATATTTCCCAAAAAAAATAAAAAATGTTACAATGTTAAGATATTAGGAAATCAACACTAGTTAAAAATTTAGCCTCCTTTTCAGAATGTGGAACAAAATAACTACTTAAGTTTTGCAGGAACTGTACGAAATAACACAATTAACTTCTGGAAAACCCAGGGTGCTAGGCTTCTGGAGAAAAGGGAGTTGCAGGAAAATTATATTGCCCCAAAATCCAAATCAGATAATAATACTAATTGTAGCAGAAAATTTTGTCTTTATGCATCTGATATTTCTCACAGAGTCTAAGCATTTAAGTTTCCAACTTACACTGAAATAAGATTCTTCATGGAGGAGTAGATTCAAAATAAGATGGTCTTTATTAGTTTTTTCTTTGTACTTGCCGCTGACATTCAATGTGTCGTGGAGTCTTTGTCGTTAACCAGTTCAAGTCATTTTGCATCGTGTTTCTGAATTTCCTTTGAATGATCACAGAGTAAAATTCCAATGCAGTTTGAAATATGACAACTATGAGTTGAAGCCGCCTCCTTTTCGTTATTTCTATGTAGGCAAGATCCAAGCTTCGACACCACAGTGCTGCCGTGCAAGTTCCGATTGGTTTAGAGGATGACTTCAAGGGCCTTATTGACCTTGTCAATATGAAAGCTCACTACTTTCATGGTTCCAGTGGGTGTGTTTAACAGCTGATGGCTAATGCATATTCTATACTTTCTACAATGCGGCTTATTTTGATTGTTCACCTTTGCAGAGAGAAAATTGTAATTGAAGATATTCCTGCTAATATTGAAGCGTTAGCTCTTGAAAAACGCCGTGAACTAATTGAAGCGGTCTCCGAGGTTGACGATAAACTTGCGGAAGCATTTCTTAGTGATGAACCTATTTCACCTATCGATCTTGAGGTACGCATAAATCATAATCCATCTTGCTTTACAAAACATTGATGGCAGATTTTTTTTTTTACTGGTATTTCACTATCTCCTAGAAATTGGCCATGGAATCTTTTTGATTTTTTCCAGTTACAGCATTTCCCTTTATTACTTAGCAGCTTGGGCTATAAACAATTTGAATTTTTATCTTCCAACTTACATGAAGATTGAAGGAAATCATTTAACTTTAGGTCTTTTTTGAATTCCTTATCAAGTCAAATTGCCTTTTTCTTTTGTATTGTTAAAATATGTAACAAATATATTTTATCTTCCAACTTGCATGAAGATTGACAGAAGAAGAGAACGAATTTATTTATTTAAAATTTATCTTCAACACTCACACACGTATGTTATCTTCAAAGGTCTAATATGTGCACAATTTTTTTCAAAATGAGTGGCGGTAAGATTTGAACCTAAAACTTTTGTCAACTTTGATACCTAATTGAACCACGGCTACCTCATTTAAAACTTAAGCTCTCAGAGTGGCAGCAAATTTATTTATTTAAATTTTGTTTTCAACAGAAAACAATCTAACTTCAGGTCCATTTTTAATACCTGTTAAGTCGAATTGCTTTTTCGTATTTGATTTTTTTCAAAGAAATGAGCAGCATGTTTTATTCTATTTAAAGCTTGGACTATTTGATTAACTTGCTGATTTAGTTTGTGAGGGAAGCATGACCCTGTAGATATAGATTCTCACACGTTATGCATTTATATTATTATGTCGTAAAGGTGGTGTGGGGCTAGAATGTATTTCCACGATCTCAATTCCTTTAGTGGGATTTTGAGCATTGTGAATTACGAGGTAAGATACTTTTATTAGAAATAGAACCAGCCCACTGTCTCTGCAGAAAAGGACGAACAAGAGAAACAAACCGCCACATTTCCCTTTTCCCACAAATGAAGAAATGTACCGATGCACAAAATATTAGAGAACACAGAGAAGGAAGCATGAAAATAAAGAAACATTACCAATTCCCTTCATTGCGTTGTCTCTATCTGCTACTGTGCTTGGTATTAATTTTTCAAGACTTGTTCCATTTTCATTTTTTTTTTAACAATTTCAATCTACAATTGGCTATTCGTGATTTTTTAGTTATATGGGACTAATTCATTCTTTAGAAGTATTCAGCACTTGACCAATGCTTTTAATCTTCCATCTTGCTTTTGACTTTATGGGTTTTTGGTTGCATTTTTTTAATTAATGCACAGCTTTATGACAATGCCACTTCATTTTATCATTTTTTGCACTATTTTTGGTCCATGTACAGGAGGCTATCAGAAGAGCTACTATAGCACGGAAATTTGTGCCTGTGTTCATGGGTAGTGCATTCAAGAACAAGGTGAGGTATCTTGTATTTAGCATATTTTTACAATATTGTTGCTTTTAGTTTGCCTGCATTCCTACTTTGATTTACTCAAAATTGGATGATTGATGGTTGCTAATGATCTCATTTGTTAACTTTATATTCACCTCCGTGCCAGACACGATTGTATTAGCTTATACCACACTAGTTGTATCGTTCCTTATTTAAATTCTTAACTACTAAAAAAATGTGAGGTTTCTGGCTGCTGAGACAGACTTAATGGAGGAAAACTAGGTCTATCTGTTGTCTGCTAGCTAATCAATCTAAATTGTGTTAACAACAGTGGAGCTATTGATATTTTCCTTTTCAAGCTTCCATTATGCATGTCGTTTTCTTCTTAATCAGCAGACATGACCGGCTAAGGCTCTATTAATATGAGATTGGAGATTTATGAATAGAACAAGGGGGAGAATTCACTGGGCTCAGGACATAGTCATTAGAATGCATTTCTGAAATCCCAGGAAATATGGGAAACAGTGCTAGAATCATCCTGGCAGATGTCCTGGTGGTAGAACCCCTGTTGCTGTAGCTTAATTGATGAATTCCTGTGCTGGAAATCTGCAAACCAGCTGAATACAGAGATATTAGACCTCAATTATAGACTAGAAATCAAGGAATAAGATCTGAGAGCTGATGGATTAATCTAAGAACACCAAAAGATCACAAATGGTATATGAAGATGATTAATGGAACTTCAAAATAACAGGCATTAGAGCGGTCTCTCTCCCCCCCCTCCTAACTGAAAATCAGTAAAAACCCTACCTACATTCCCCTCCTATCCACATTTTATTCATTTCCCTTACTACAGCACTATGACCATACCCTCTATTAACGAACTGAAGCTGAGTTGGCAGCCCCCATGGTGGTTGTAACACTCCCTTCTTCCTCCTTGCATACATGAACCTTATGGGGGGTCTATCACCTGGCTAGAAAATCTTGAGTACTAAATAAACTAAGGAGCCTTGATAGAAAACTCAACTATAACAAAATAAATTTTATTAAACAAAGCTCTCCTTGTTATGCTATTCTTCTGAAGCTTGGGTAAGAAAAAGTTGCAACTTATCCCTATGTTTGGCTTTCATTCCCTTTTACTCAATTTCTACTTTTTTCCATCCAATCAAAGTCAAACTTTATTTTCAACAACACATTCAAAATTACTACTCATTATTACACTCACATTTCGTTGTTCCCACTACTATTCCTCCCAAAAAGTTACTAATAATCAATACCGAAAAGATTGTATAACTTTGTTATATGCTTGAGTGAACAGGAGTTAGTTTGTTGACCTTTGTTTCTTGTAATCATGACATTTGTTTCCCAAGTATGCCTTTAGTGTGCAACTTTCTGAATCATCTTATACTCTGTCTCCATTCTGTATTTTCCCCTTTTGCCAGTTAGGATGATTTTCAAAATTCTTCTTGTTGCTCTTTTCTTTACCTTGATACATTTTACTATTTTAAAGCTGCAATCTATGTCTTCTTCCACTTCGTGATAACAGGGTGTTCAACCACTTCTTGATGGTGTTCTGAGCTATTTGCCTTGTCCCACTGAAGTTAGCAACTATGCTCTGGACCAAACCAAGAATGAAGAGAAGGTACTTAATGGAACTATTTTATTTAGATTACTTTTCTTTCATGGTAACCTGTGAAGCATGGAAACTCCTACTAGGACAGCGTGTTATGTCAATCACCGGCACTCTTCAGGCGCTCTAGCACGTGTTCTACAAGCCATGTGTTTTGTCCAATCTTTTATATATTTTCTAAATTTCCAACCATTGAGGGATGCTTTAGGGCACTCCTCTGGAATTCCTACATGCTATGTGCCATTTCCTGTATTATATATAAAATAAGGATATAACATTATATTAAAGAATTTAATTCTGACGTGTCCCCTTATGTGTCCTTGTACTACTTTTAAAAAAACTTGTTGGCGTGTGATGAAGATTGATTGCTTTTAATTTTACTGTAAACACCTGTTTGGTTTAGTTAAAAATCAGATTTTTAGTAGATTTTGATAAAAGTTCATGAAATGTGTATTGAAAAGTTGATAAAAGTTATAAGTCCCATGTCATATGTTAATTATTGTAGGGCGTATTTATTGCGTCGTAGGGTTTTTTCATGTTTTGGTACTATTTAAACTCTTGTTAAAATTATAGAACTTGGATTTTTCCAATTCTTTCGGTCCAATATTGGCATTTTACAGAATCAACGATTTTGTGGTTCAACATCTGTATTCAGTATTCATGCACGAATAAACGAAAAATGGATTCAAAACTTAGCAGAATTCTTTGTGAATCAATGTGTTTTAGGATTGTTCTTGTGTTCATCTCTTGTTTATCACTTCCATTTACACCACCGTGTCAGTGCTTCTTAGATGGTAACCAATCAAAGAACTATTTCTCAACTGCTTGAAACTTTACCAGGTTATGTTATCTGGAAGTCCTTCTGGTCCTCTGGTTGCCCTAGCTTTCAAATTGGAAGAAGGACGTTTTGGTCAGTTAACATATCTAAGGTATTATAAAAGTTCAGAGCAAGTATTTTAGTTCATTTGCCATCATTTATGTGTTAATAGTCTCATATGATTGAATTGTGGTACTAACTCCTGTGTTTGCTGAAGAATCTATGAAGGCGTCATCAAGAAGGGTGATTTTATTATCAACGTGAACACGGGAAAGAAGGTTAAGGTGGGTTTGATGTTAAAATTGTTTGACCATCATATTATTGCTGAAGTCCTCTCCCTTTTTGGAGAAGAAGATAAAATAAAATATGGACATTGTTCTTGATTTCGCTTAAATATCTTAATAGTAGCTGTTAAACTATTCATGGATATGCATATAGGGTATGATGGATATTCCATAGTCACCTGAATGCTGCGTGGACATCCTTGTGTTGTCTATGCTGCTTACATGAGGCTTTCATGAAGCGTTTTTACCGAAATTAATATCAAAACCATTACTGTCCGGTATAATTGTAATGTATCTTAGGATGCTTCTGGGAGGACTTGGAAAAAGCCATTAGGTTGCTTTTGTTCTCTCGGTTGAGTAACTCAAATAGGATTTTAATTGTGTTACAGGTTCCTCGCCTAGTTAGGATGCATTCAAATGAAATGGAGGTTAGTCAATTGCTCCCCTTCCCTTCTTTTAACATGCTTTTCATTTTTATTCCGATGACTTATTGTTTATATATGGTCTAGGGTGAGCGAAATTCATTAGAACAGGACTATTCACATCTCTGGTTTAGTAGAAAAAAACTAAGACCCAGTCCTTTTTTTAAAATTTTTTGAATAATATAGAATATCTACTGTTAAGTAATTTAGTTATAAAGCAGTCTCGATTATCTTATATAATCAAGTTTTAAAGGCTTAATTCCTGAAGAGACAGGTTCAGTCAGTCCTCTATGAAAGAAGCACTGGATCGCACGAATCCTTATTTATAATTTAGCATATGCTTATAAATGGGTAGAAATGAGTGATGGATAACTAGATAGTATTTGTGGGTCCTGGGAAATATATAGATAAAAAGTGGTTCGACTTTTAGCAAATGTTGCCAAACATACTATTAGTCTTTTTCAGTATTATTTTTGTACTTCTCAATTTTGTTCTGACCGCTTATAATCTTTTGGTAATTAATCCCTTTTCTCCTGTTTTTGTATTACAGGACATTCAACAGGCACATGCTGGACAAATAGTGGCTGTATTTGGTGTTGATTGTGCTTCAGGTATCAAATGCAAATGGACATGAAATTTTTCGATCTTTGCTTGAATTGTATGAACACATGAAATGGACATTCTTTCTTGCAAATTTTGACGACTTCTATTGTCTAGGGGATACATTTACTGATGGGTCAGTTAGATATACCATGACATCTATGAGTGTACCTGAGCCAGTGATGTCATTAGCTGTTTCAGCAGTTTCTAAGGATTCTGGAGGCAATGTGAGTGGTCAATGAAATATCTTCTCTTTGTTCTACTTCAGCTAGATGGTTGTAATCCATGTTGTTTGGATTCTTACATAGTGATATTTGGTATTCTTGACTGACAGTTTTCAAAAGCTTTGAATCGCTTTCAAAGAGAGGATCCAACTTTCCGTGTAGGATTAGATCCCGAGAGTGGCCAGGTTTTACTTTTATACTTGTTCCTCAGTTTAGGAAGTTCTTGTGTGCCTCACTTCACCTTGACGAGGATATCATTTCAAAGAATCTTCATGTACTCATCTGAATGATATCTTGTGTAGACAATAATATCTGGGATGGGAGAGCTCCATTTGGATATATATGTTGAGCGCATGCGAAGGGAATATAAGGTATTTCCTTCTTATAATTGTAGTACAGAGTTTTAACCTTCTGCTGTGAAATATGCAATTTTATCGATGACCATTCTAAAATTGTTTGCCATTGTTAAGGTTGATGCAACAGTTGGGAAACCTCGTGTCAACTTCAGAGAAACGATCACTCAGCGTGCTGAATTTGATTATTTACACAAGAAGCAGAGTGGAGGACAAGGTCAATATGGAAGGGTTATTGGGTAAGTGTACTTTTGGCCTTTACTTGGCGAATATGACTGGTTTCCATCGCTGCTAGCAGGCCAAAATGCAATACTGTCTTATGGCCCTTTCTTTACAGTTAGGACATTGTTTTGATTGGTGTTTGATGTGTCAAAAAGAGACCGAAGAATTGAGAAGAATTTCTGTAAAATCTTATTCACCTCGTTTATAAGTTGGTTTATGTTTATATCTTTATTCGATGTGAGATTCTATCCCTTAACATGCCCCAGCAAGATGGTGGCTCGTTTGAGTAGACCAATCTTGAAATTCGTATGCTCACTTTTGGAGTTTTAATCAGATCGAATTGCTCGTTAAAGTTTAATGAGTTCTAATACCATGTCAAAAAGATATCGAAGAATTGAGAAGAATTTCTGTAAAATAATTCACCTAGAATTGGGTTCCCTATTGTATAAATATTGTACAACATTTAATCTACAAGGAAAGTAAATAAATACAATTCCTAAGAATCAGCTTTCCCAAAATATATTCACTTATATACGGTAACATGATGGATCTTAGTCAGCCTTTTTAGCTTTGAAGCAACTGCATTTTTTTCCTTATTCATGTTCCAAAATGGTCATGACAATAATCCTTACTGAAGTTCTCAAATCTGATGCTAGGCTGATTACCTCGATCATGTTGTTTTATATTTATTTTTGGTGTACTGAAGTTTGACCTTAGCGATTAATGATAAGAGGAAAACAAAGGATTTTTTCTTGCATTTGGGCCCCCATCTTAGGTTTCAGTAGCAAAGAGAAAAATGATTTTTTGTTTTTTATTTATATATTTTTTCTGCTACAAGAAATTGCAACAGATATTTGCACCATATACAAAGAAAAGTACAGAGACACATAAAAAGGGGAAGAGTTTCTAGGTTCAAAACATTTGGAATTCTTTGCACTAGCTTCCTACATGGTTTTACACCATCCTAATCTCTTCTGTTGATAGGTATGTGGAACCACTTCCTCCAGGCTCACCAACTAAGTTCGAATTCCAAAACATGCTTGTAGGACAAGCTGTACCTTCAAATTTCGTACCAGCTATTGAGAAGGGATTTAAAGAAGCTGCCAACTCGTAAGTGGAACTTTTATATCATATCAGTTGAGAGTTGTCCAGATTGTTTTGGGTATCCGTATTTTTTTTAAATTTTTTTTGCATTTAAATGGAATTCGGTTATGCTGATAAATGAATTTCTGTGAGAGCGAACATGTGCTTTGAGACTGTTGACCAACAATGATAGTGAAAATTTACTAAAAGGCGAAACCATCTAAGAAAACTCCTTAGTTATTTCACTTGAAGATTTTCGTGTATCATTCGTTACACTGTACATGCGCGCGATAAAAAAAATGAAAATTAATTGCAGCCATCCAAGACGTATAATTTATTTAGATATGGCTCAGACATTCGAATAGCAGAGAAATGGACCATACTTCCCAGCTTAACTAGGACGTGTTAAAACCTATAAAGAGGTTATTGCTTTGTATTGATCACCACATTATTATTGATGCAATTGCAAGAATTCTCTCTCCTCCTTTTCCACTGTTTCTTTGATCATTTCTTGTGTTTCTGTCATCACATACAACCCATGTTTGGGCTCCATTATTTCCAAAATACATTTTTCAAAACTCATTTTCAACCATACATTCTTCCATAAAATAATATTACACGAAAACTTGAAACTTTTTCCTTATCTTTTAACGACAGTAAGAGGTTTTTTAATGATAAGGTTTTATATAAAAGAGGCAAAATCACAGCAAAATAGAGCCCAAACAGGGGCACGATAAGTATCCGACATGTAAAGCTTTGCAATAGAACAAACCTTTTCAATCAATTAAGAGCCTGTTTGAGATGCGTGTAATATTATTTTATTGAAGAATGTGTAATTAAAAAGAAGAGAGAAAAATGTATTTTGGAAATAATGGGGGATCAAACGAGGGCTAAACTGCAAACTACAATATTAAGAAGCAAAGAAACCTTAATTTCTTTACTGTTGCATAAAAACTTTTAAAGATGCATCAGTATTTTCTTTTGCACTTTTCCTAGCCTCATTTGCTGTGAGTAATCTCCTTTCATGATTGTATATTATTTTACTATCGACACTTGATAGTCAAAGTCTTCACACAGATGAGGTTTGTGGAACTCATTTATTACTTCTTTCTTGCTCTTTGTATGCGTATGTGACAGATATATAACCAAATTGTGTATGTGTTTGTGTGTAGGGGTTCTCTTATTGGCCACCCTGTTGAAAATATCCGTGTTGTTCTCAATGATGGTGCAGCCCATACTGTTGATTCCAGTGAACTTGCTTTTAAGTTAGCTGCAATATATGCTTTCAGACAGGTGCATCTTGCATACTGCACGAGCTGAAAAGCTGTCTTCCAATTTTTACAGTTGATCTTTACTGATGGACCTGGAAATATTTTTTTTACTCTTGAATATATTTCATCTTTATCAGATTTTCATAGTCTTCATTCTGTTAAACAGTGTTATGCAGCTGCCAAGCCCGTTATATTAGAGCCTGTGATGTTGGTGGAATTAAAGGCCCCCACAGAATTTCAGGGCACTGTCACTGGTGATATCAACAAGTCAGTACTTCATTTGGTTATGGTTATTATTTCTCGTCATTCTTTGGAAATTGAGACCTGGTTCTAAAGGGCAATATGAGTTTATATCTTTAACATGTTATAGGAGGAAAGGAATGATTGTGGGGAATGACCAGGAGGGAGATGATTGCGTTATTACTGCTCATGTAAGCATCACTTCTACTTGTAACCTTTTTTCTTCATATTTAATTATTTGAGTTTGAAAATCAGATGCCTATCTTGATTGAATTGGTTACAGATTTTTCAATTGCTGAGTTTGGTTTGAATTTACATCTCACAGCAAAATTTGGGGTTTACCCTCATTCACTGTTTTTCATTTCTTCTTATACAATGTATGCTGGTGTTTATATTTCATACGATATAACCATTCATTTCCGGTCTCGACAGAACTTTTGGTTGTATGCTGTTTAGGTTCATATACTTTCTGTAAACATATGCACTTTAGCAAAATCAGCTGCTCAATTGCAAGTAAATAGGCTATATATGAATGTGGGGCTTGGTACGTTAAAGTAGGATTTCTCTTTTCAAAAAAAACCATTAAAACACTACAGGATACCTATTGAGCAGTTTACCAAATGATTCGTTATCTAATAATAGAGAACACGAATTAAGGTGGAAGTACAGTAAATTGAAAGTTTAGTTCTGTTCATGTCGGTTTTCGTTACTCAATCTCGCATATAGCTTGTTCGGTTTTCAAATTTATTGCAGGTTTCTGTTTATGAAGATTCTTTCTATCACCCACTTGGTCTCACCCTTGCATTGTTCTCTCTTTGTCAAACACCACCTGTGCCTAGGTGGAGGGGCTTGGTGGACCTCTACCTGTAGATTAATGATAACATAAGTACGGTGGAGGGGGGTATTCAACCTATCTGTGTCACTGACTCCAGATCAAGTCCCCCTTATTGAACCGCAATTGAAGAAGACATCGATTTAGTTTACAGGGATGGAATTTCCTAAGAAGTCGTGTTCATGGAGAGACAGAGAGGCCTTGCTTATCAGTGTCTGTTTAATGTTATTCCAAACTTTATAAGCATTTGTGAGTTATCTTTTTCATCTTCTTTAATTGGGACAATCGCGCTCCACTTGGGGTAGATTTGACCTGAATTGAGGTCCATTTATTGTGACCCATGCAATAAGGTTATTTATGACTTATTCTACGGTGTGAGATCTCTTAAACTAACAATTAGAAAGTAAGGATATTTTCACCATGACCATTGTGAGAAGGCTTTTTAAAAAATCACCCTTTTACAAATGCTTATCAAGGTATATTGAAAATTGAAAACAATTCATTTTTACGGGCCACTTAACGTATTATTCTTTCTCCTAAGATAGTCTCTCTAGCAAACTTTATCTACTTATACAGTGTGGTTGCCTTTGGGAATAAAGCTACAATATTTATTGTCCAATGAGATCTGATCACATTCCCATCTGAAAAGTATTTGCACTAAGGTTCCTTTGATGGAAAATTTAATTTACAATGCATGGGTATGGATGTAGCAATGGAGTGACGTACTTTTCTATTTATCATCCCCAGCTACACCAGATGTATATAATTCTGTTAAATTATGACTGGCTATGCTACCAATAGCCTGGTGCATCTAATACTATTAGCACGGAGATTCATTCCCTGCAATTTGTGCACTTGCATTCAATCTCCCCCTCCCTTGTTGGTTTGTGAGTTCATTGATCATTGTATTGGCTTTTCAGGTACCTCTCAACAATATGTTTGGATACTCGACAGCTCTTCGTTCTATGACTCAGGTGAAATAACAGACTATTTTATACTTGTTCCATAATCAAAAATATGATTTTATGTAGGCCTTGTTTGAGCCACCTTTTTGTAGAATGAGAATGAAAAATATAACCATTATTGGGGCCCACACAAGAGATAGAAAATTTGAATTTAAATGTTGATGTAATGGATAACGGTCATATTTTTCATTTTAATGAGAAAATAAGGTGGTCCAAACGGGGGCATAATCAGATTTCACTTCACTGCAAATTAAGATTTGCGGTAAAGTGAAATCTGAATATGTAAATCATAGAGTTCTACACTTCTGAAATTGAAGTCACCAATACAAGTTAACTCTTCTTTTGATTTTGCAGGGGAAAGGTGAATTCACAATGGAATATTTACAGCATGCACAAGTTTCCCAAGATGTGCAGATGCAACTGGTGAACACGTACAAGGCTTCAAAGGGTGTCGAATAGCTGATGTGTTTTTGAAACACGGGGCTTTTTATTTTTTCCTGTGGAAACCCACTTATAAAATTTATTTCACTTAATCAGGGCGATAGGTTATATATATTTAATGAATCCATATTTGGTCATCCAATTTTGAAAAGCCTGAAATAAGGTACCATAAGTTATTTTTCCATACGAATAAGTTCCCTGTAGTGATTGGACTATTACTTCAAAAAATCTGTGATTTAAAATTTTAATGTATTTTTTAAATCGTGATGCTAATGCTTCATTTATGAAATTAATCTTTACTGACCATAGTTGTAGTGGTATGTTTGCCTTTGTACCTTGTGATTGAAGGTGAAAAGGTTTCAGGCTACTGCAATGAATTTGCATCCAGAATAAGTATATCAAGA